GAAGGGTTGTCTGAAAGCCAGAACAATTCAAACTTGCCGGGTCGTTCGCCGTGAACGACCTTGTCCGATTTTTGGTCAACAACGGATTTTTTAACCTATGGCATTTCGTGCCCAGGCGAATTCGTAAGTAAATGTCAGAGAAAATTAGGATGACAAATGATCATCACAAAAGTCAAGTCAATTTCTACCCATCTGTCTGTCAATCATTCATCAAATCTTTTTATCTGCCTTTTTGTCAGTTCGTCTTATCTACATTCTGTTCGTATATTCGTCTATCTATCACTCTTCATATTTCTGTCTGTCCATTTATCTGTTTGTTTGTACCATCTTTGCAATGCTCACACGTTCACCAGTGAAATGACATACAAATTCTTGACTGTAATGAACACACACTGCATTTTATTCAGTGAAGGAAACGAAGCTGAAATGAATATGAATTACGAACTGTGAAGTGGTCCCCTTGCGGGAAGGGTGCACAATGGTAACCACAAATGGCACGAAGAACGAATATCGATTTGCGTCGGTTGCTGGCATACTGGTTTCTTGTTTATGTTTCTACTGCTCGCAGCGGTAATGAATCAGCTACCGGATAAATATCACCCTCTCATTTTTTACGGTATGCGTGTTTTCATCGGCGACTAGCGATGTTTACTGGAGCTCAGCTTGAGAGGTGCTTAGCGGGTATTAAAAGCTGTGCTAATACGTCGTGCAGAACATCTTGCTCTACTTGAAGTACAATGATTACGATTTTTTCCGATTTCCGCCGATTATGTTTTTTGTTCTTGTTTCTCAATGTCTGCCTCATGTTTTGAGTATATTTGGTCAGAATGCAGCGTGGACTACATGCACACAAAGTTCTCTTCTACTGTATAGATTTCCTTTCCACATCTGCAGGTGAAATGAAGCGTCATTTAATCATGTTCAAAACATTTACCAAGCATTGCAGACGAAATTTAATCCCGATGTTCTGGGGTTGCTCTCGTAAATGAGACTTCTCATTGCTACATTTAATTTTTAATACCAGATTTTCTAATATATGGAAGGAGTTTGTTCGAGACTCCATTTGTCTTTTGCCGAAGCTCAGACTCTGGCACAGGATCAGGAACGTTGGATTCACTGTCTGACATGTCTGATGGAAGATGTTGATGATAATGATGATGATTTTCTTTGCCCATATGCACCCTTCCCTTGCGTTTCCATACCTAAGGGGATTATGTAATGGACAAAATATATAACACAGATGTTTTCGGGTATCTTTTGATATCGCCGCTGAAGATATCACATAAAAAATAATGATACCGGATTGAAACGACAAAAATGCACAGCGTAAAGAAAGAAAAATTTGTTTCTCACTTTACACTAGCAGCACAATTGCACCGCTATCGCCCTCTGGCTTCTACACGCCTAGGAGGACCATTTAAGCAGGTCATGGCTGCATGGCACTTAAGTGCTTGCAACGCATAGGACGCAAGACCGAGTCTGAAACTCGAGTATAAAAGTATATTCAACCAAGACTGCCACGATCCGTTGGCGAACGATGGACAATATATATAGCCCTTATGTTCTTGGGGACATTTCTAAACCGTCGTTGAAGATATCACATTTAAAATAATGACACCGGATTTAAGCATCGAAAATGCGCACTGCAATGCATATTATTAATTAAATATTTATTATTCAGATTACTTTATTAAGAGAGCAAACTATCTCAGTAGTGCGAAGCAACGATTTTGCTTATTATTTAAAATGTCAAAGCAACTTTGGAAAGATTGAGGCTGCTTGAAATAAAAAACATCATAAAAATTATTAACGGTTAGCAGTGAGTTCTGACACCGTTAGCGCAATAAGCCTGCTTTAAATTACTATTCCTTATAGCTTAAAGAAATGCGGTGATTCCCGTCTTGCCCCCACCTTTAGTACCGTACTCGGTACTTTCCCTAACTGCAATGGTGTTGATATCCGTTTCGGTAGAATCAGTCCGAAATGGTTTATGTTTGATAATGACATTTGCAGCTGCTTGACAAATATATTGTATACGTTGCCATTATAAAAGAACTGTCTGACTGTTTTGGATGATGTGGAACCGACCAGAATTCTAGCTGACATCTCTAGAATTCCGGTTTGGCCTTAAACCGTTCAAGCCATCAAACAACGCTGTTTTGTTGCGAGCTTAGAACGGGTTGCAATTGAGAGGTAAAGTCGAAACGAACTTGTGGCTGTTAGAAATATAGTATGATTATGGAGCATGTGGTGACTTATCTGAAGATGTCAAGCAAGCAATTGTTTGGTTATGTGATTTAAAACAACGGACGATCTTCGAAGTACTACAAGACCTAAATTTAAATGAATCGAATACTTTCAATATCTGAAAAAATTGCGCTATACAAAGGCGCCCTTGCCATGCTCTGGTTTATGGGACAGAACTAAGTTCCTCCACTTAAAAGTGAATAAATTGGCTTCGTTTAATCTCATGGTTTTATATACCAGCATTTAAACCGATAAGGCAACAAAAAGAAGTTTCCTTGTATTCAACGATAGGATAGACAAGGCCTTAGTTTCATAAACACAAGAAAAAGTAATATTTTACCCTTTTTCTCCAGGGGCTACGGTAATTCCCAGAATAGACAAGAATGAGTTTCGAAAAGGTTATGGGCAGAAAGTATAACGTTGATTCTTGCGAAACGTACCCGATACATGCAGGAAAATAGTTTTTTAACTAGTAATAAAACTTTCCTTTATATTATTATGACATTATTTTCACATTTATTGTTCGCATTATTGTATTTTAGAGATTCACCACATCAAGACAAAATCGATGCTAAACAAGAGCTGCCTAGACAGTTCTGTAAAATTCGAACACATCACCAGCTATATCTACTTCGACCATCAGGTGTACCCGGAGGAGATCAGCAGAAGAAAGATATGGCGTCATTTGCCAGCTTTAATCGTATTGAGACATCATTACTGGTCTTGAGGACGAAAACTGAAGAATTCAATTCAACTGCCCTACCCACCATGATCTACGGCGCTGAATGTTGGTCTGCTGAAAACAGCACACCGATGGTCACTTAACGAATGATGGTCGTCGAAGAATGCGCAAAATCTTTATCCTGAAACACGTTTGGATCACATCGACTGGAAAATGGATCAGATTAACAGACGTGATTTCTGCATTCTATGAAGCCAATAAAAAATATGACTTGACTCAAGTAGGCCACAGACATTTATTTGGTCGTTCAAGAATACGCTGGCACCTGCGATAGAGGCAGGAAAGGAGACTGGAGTAGCGGCCACGTGCGTATTTAATGGATCCATGACGAGGAGCAATCGGATAGGCATTATTATTCAGTAGTAAGAAGAAAAGTTCTGAATGAAAAAATACGTACAGTTGTTAAACTATGAAATACATAAAATAATTTACTTCAGAAATACTTTTTTTGAAAAGTATAGAGTCATCATCACCTCACAGCAATTAATGGGCAGAATGTGACAAGTGTTGCAGGTTCATCTTTGCGGTTCAGCTACTAGACTATTCAAACAATTGATTACTGCAGAAATAAACAAATGATTCGTCA